ACTATTGGTCTTGTATTCTACAACATTGCTGAACTCATTTATTAGCTTACATTTTTTTCTTTCTGTGGATTCTGTGGACTTTCTATATGGAAGATCATGTCATCTGCAAATAGAGTTTTTCGTTTTTCTCTTCTTGTCTTTGTTTTTTTTTTTTTGAGGTAATATTGGTTTACAATACTGTATATGCTTTTTCCTTTGTGGTTATACTAGGGCTTACCACATACATCTCAGTTTACTAGATCATGCTTCAGACTTATACTGACTTATTTCCAGCAAGGTAAAATAATTTTACTCATATGTTTATTCTTTTTCTCCCCCTTTTGTGGTATTAGTACACATATTAAGTCTATTTATGTTGAAAACCCAGTAAAACATTATTGAAGATATTACTTACATAATTTTATGCATTTTAAAGAATCTCAGAAAAAGAGGGGGCAAGTATATGTTTATATTAATATTTTTATTTATCATTTCTGGTTTGCTGTAGATACAAATATACATGGGCAATACCACCTTATATCCTTAGTCCAACATATATTTTTCTCCCATTCACTTCGGTTGTGTCACTATTTGTAAATATATGGGGTTTTTTGGTGTTATAGGCCCAATGGTAGCATTACATAGATCTTTTAAAATGTCATTTGAAAAATCAGGTCAGCCACTATGGAAAGCTGTGTGGAGATTCCTCAACCTGCTAAAGATGGAGCTTCCATATGATCCAGCAATTCCGCTCTTAGGTATTTACCCAGAGGGCACAGAATCATTAATTCAAAAGGGTACCTGCACCCCTATGTTTACAGCAGCAGTATTTACAATAGCTAAGCTATGGAAAGAACCCAAGTGCCCAAAAATAGATGACTGGATCAAGAAGATGTGGTACATATACACAATGGAATATTACTCAGCAGTCAAAAAGATAAACTCATGCAATTTGCAGCACCATGGTTGGAGCTGGAAGAGATCATGCTCAGCAAAATAAGCCAGAAAGAAAAAGAAAAATACCATAGTCTCACTCATAGCAGGAATTTAGAAAACCTAAATAAGGGACCAGGAAAAAAAGTAAAAATCAAAATCAACAAGCAACTATAAACCAGAGGACACACTATGGGGTCGGGGGGAGGAGGGATTAGGGTCAAAATAAGGGGGGGTGGGAATTGTATGGGGAATAGAACCAAGATGAAAGTGCATACACTGTGCAAAAATGAAAAATGATGTAAAAAAATATGTAAAATAAAATAAAACAAACAAAATCAGGTCATTGAAGAATGACACAGTGACTTTACCAATGCTCTTTTCTTGTGTGTGTGTGGAGTTGAGTTGCTCTGTGGTCACTTGCTTTCCCCTTGAAAGGTTAGTTTTCTTTTCCCCTTCTATGTTAGAGGTTTGCAAACCAAGGCCTGAGCCAAATCTGTTTCACTGTCTATCTGAGAGCAAAGTTTATCGGAGCGTGCTGTTGCTCAGTTGTGTTTTCTGTGTGGCTGCCTTCGCCCTGCTCCGGCAGAGATGGGGGATCATGGCAGAGAGTGGATGGTCTGCACAGTCTAAAGTACTGACTGTCTAACCTTTGTAGAAAAGTTTTCCCAGTCTCTGTTCTGTATTTTTGTCTAACCTTTGTTGTGAAAGTATTTCAAACCACCATTTACATCTACTTTTGCAAGATGTTTGAGGCTTTTCTTGTTACAGAACAGATTCTGCATTAATGTTTGATGTTGTAGTTTTCCTAACATGTAGACAGTGTGTGCATTTCAACCCAGAATACAGGCCTGGCATAGGCTGTAAGTTCTCCCAAGTGACCTTTCTTTCATATGCAAACTTCAGTGGCTTCTCTTTGTGCTTCTTTGGATTTGTGATGTGTTGTAGTACTTTTCTGAAGGTTGGAAGATGTACAAATATGCTACTGTTAGCTCTCTTCTTTGTAGATACCAGAGATACTACATCCTGGCCCAAATGGGCTTTGAGATCTGTGCTGCGGAGCTCTCTTTGCCTATCTTGGGTATAGTAAGATTCTGCCACTAACCCAGACTTCTCTTTAACCTTTATATTTTGAATTTCTGCTATTTCTAGCGTCTTATGATGAGATCCCTTTTCTTGTAAAGTATGCTATGTGTTAAAATGCTTAGGGTAAATTTTAGCCTTGATTTTGTGTGTATATATTGAATTTTATTGAGAATGTCAAGTACCTATTTTAATATTTTATATCTGTTTTATACAGAGCATATTTTTCAAAACTATGTTCTTTATTTGCATATCAAGTGTTAGTTTTTCATTATGTTTTATTTTCAATTTTTTTTTTCCTTTGTGTATCCATAGATGAGCCATCTGGTCTGGTTTTAAAATCCAGGCAAAACAGTATGGTTGGCTTCTCTTTAGTTTTGTTCCTGTTTCAGCCTTTCACATAACAGTGCATCCTGGAATAACTATTTGATGCAAACTTACATTCTTGTTGATCCAACATCCTGATGATTGTAGTGAAATAAGACCCAGTCATAGGCCTTTGCTGGCATATCCTGCTCTTGGCCATTGTGCCCGGGTCCCACCTTTGTGGCTTTCTTTCTCCTTTGCCATTTCTGCCATGTGAGTTAGAGGTTCTGACAATGCCTGTCTCTTTTTGGTTGAAAACTTGCCTGCAGTTAGCTTACATGATACCAGCTTTCTATGTGATAAATTTACCCCATCAGACCCTGAACGTCACTGCACCACACTTTCCAGCAGCCAAGTGGGAGCACACCAGAGTGTGCCTTTTGATTGCCACGGGGTCCAGGGCTGCCTTCAGAACTTTCCACTTTCAGGAAGGGACAGTTGTGTTGAGATTGTACCAAGGACTCACCATTAATTTCTATGGTATTATGGGATACTCCTCTCTAGTTTAATTTCACTAATTTACTAACTGCTACGACCATATCCAAGTTTTATTGTTTTTGGCATGTTCTGGTATTTCAGGGGTAATTTGTGACAAGGCTGTTAGAGATGGTAGCTAAATTGAGCTGTTTATTCAGCAGTTAAAAGGTTTGTTTTTCAGTTGCAAAATTGTAACCAAGAGTCTTACAGAATTCTTACAGTAGCCCATGTTTTACTCTGACCTTTTCATGTTATGCTTTACATGTAGTAGGTGCTCAATAAACATTGTAAATATGTGAGCAAATTAATTAGTGTTATACATGAAGCAATAACTTAAAATAAGTATGAAATTTATTATAGAAAATTGATGATGTAAAATTTTTTTCTAAATGAAGGTAACTATTCTTTACTTTCCCTTAGGATTATCTGTACTTTAAAAAACAGATTATTCTATGTGTAATATCAGTATGTTTATTTTACTTAATGTATCATAAAATTTTCCCTTTTATTAAAAATTTTCCCATTGTTTCATAACATAAAGTTTAAAAACTTTTAACTTTTCTATTTCTTTTTTTTTTTTTAATAGAGGCATGTTTTTATTTATTTATTTATTTATTTATTTTGTTTGTTTGTTTGTTTATACATGCACTGGGTACAGTCAGAAGCGCGGGAGGGTGAGAAAATTCACCAGAGCCAGAGCGGGGAGCAGAGCAGGCAGAAGGACCGAAGTACACTGCTGAGGGGAGCAGCGGGTGGCAGGAGAGGTCTGCGCGCCATGTGGGACCCTCCTCTGGTGGCCGGGGAACAGCCAGGGATCGAACCGGCGCTGCAGCTGCGGGCAGCTTCGCAACCCAGCGCTCAACCGCTGCGCCACCTGGGAGGCCCCCTTTTCTATTTCTTAAAGAGAGTGTGAAGATTAACATTTTCCATAGTGACTTCATGTCATTTCCAAACTATGTTATAGTAGAGTTATGTCTCTGAACAATTTTATAAGGTTTAACTATTTGGATTTTACACTCTTGCACACATATTTCCTCATCCCTTGGTGTTAATGCTTGTCGATGACCTTATGCTTGTAATTTCTTGTAATTTCCCTGTCAAATTTTCCACAGACTAGAAGTATAGCATTAAATGTGTAAGCTTTTGATTCATACTTCCTTAGTTATGCATTTGTTTCTATCATGGATTAGCTGTGTGATTTTGGGAAGTTGCTTCACAATCTTAGAAATGATAATGGAAATGCTGCCTTCCATGTGGAATGTTGTGAAGATGAAATGATCTAATCCATTTATGTCGCCTGGTACACATCTGGCAATGGTGTAGAATTTGCAGTATTTAAAAATGGTTGTAATATGAATACTGGCCAAGCAGAAAAGATGCTAGCCATGGTCATTTGGGATGAACTGGCTAAAGTGAGAGACAGCGCAATTAAGTTCTACCTTAGTTGTAAGAGTGATGAAAACAATCATGGAGGTAATAGTTAAGGGCAGGCAGTTACCAAATGATGTCAGTATCATGCCCCAGGTAGGTACATGACATGAAATTCATTTGCCATCTGATATTTTTAGATTATATTGTAATGCTAATACCAAAATGTATTACATTTCACATTTACATAAAAAAACTCATGCTTTCAATCTGATTCTTTTCAGTTCACATTCAAGTAGAATATCAGTTAAGTCTTGACTTTTTTCTTGCCCAGAGAAGATAAACATTTATACAAATTAATTTAAAAGTGCTATTTTTGTTGTCACAGGATTTTCTATATTTATTCCTTTGTTGTTATATGCAAATATAATTAATATGCATTTTAACATTGTTTATTAAAGCTTTATTATTCAGTCTTGTATTTATGGAACATAGTAGACATAAAATTCACATGAATCTTTAAGGGATAGTCCCTCCTTAGCTATAACTCCTATGTTTTCACTTCATTTCTAACCCCTGCATTTTATGGAGCATAAGGCAAAATTTCAATGAGAATTTATTGTATATATTCTCCTACATTAACATTTTGAGCCACATGTATTATACATTATAAAACCCTTGGGAAATGCCTTTTGGACTTGGCTACCATTCAGACTTCTGAAATTAATTTTGATAGCTATTATAGTTGGTATTGTTATGTAGATATTTGTAATATTTTTTGCTGTTTTCTTTAGCTTGCCAGTGTAACGGACATAGCACTTGCATCAATAATAATGTGTGCGAACAATGTAAGAATCTCACCACAGGGAAGCAGTGTCAAGACTGCATGCCAGGTTATTATGGAGACCCAACCAACGGAGGACAGTGTACAGGTAACTGCTTTTTTCTTTTATTTAGTGTATTTCCACTAGAGAAAATGAAATGGAGACATACACACCTCTTGTGGAAAATATATTAATTTGTCAGTGTCTCAATATTTTGGAAGATAACATCTTTATTAGGGACTATGTGAACTATACAATTTTTTTTTTCACATTACAGTTTACATGCCGCTGCAACTGTTCATGTAGTTAATATATTGTTGTCTGTGTCTTATTTTGCTTTCATGAAAATGATTTCATGTATACCTTCCAACTTAGTACCTATATATAACAATCCACTGGATTTTGTGATGTAATTTAACTATAATATGTTCTTGTTGTTATTTATACAATGTTTTTGACCATATTGAATTATAGAGCATTTTTCAAAATTAAGGTGATAAAATTTACATAGATTAAAATGAACCATTATAAGTATTCCATTCACTGGCATTTAGTTCTTTCACATTATGTGCAACCATCCCATCTGTCTAGTTTCAGTACATTTTTATCACACCAAAAAAACCTCTATATTTAATAAGAAATTGCAGTTCCTGACAACCACTAATCTGCTTTTTTTGTCTACATTAATTGACTTTCTCTGGATATTTCATACATAATGTCATACAATATGTGACTTTTTGTTACTGACTTCTTTTACTTGGCACAATTTTTGTAATTCTTGCAGCATTTATTGGTACTTCCTTTTTATGACTGTGTATTATTCCATTTTATAGATACAACATACTTTTAAAATTCATTCATCCATTGATAGACATTTTGCTTTTTCTCCACATTTTGGCTACTATGATTAGTGCTGCTATGAACACTACTACACAGGTCTTTGGGTATCTGTTTTCTGTGTTTCATATGTATGCCTATGAGAAGAATTGCTGATCAAGTGGTAATTCTATTTTTATTTTTTTTAAGTTGTGTCTGCCATATTTCTTCACTACAGAGTTACTATTTTATCCTTAATAAACAGTGTCTTGTGGGAGATACTTTGAGACTGTGTATATACTGTGTTACTTCTCAAACTTTCACCCTCTAATTTTATGCTTTTTACCCATATACGATTTTCTGATTTCATCATTCTATATAAATGTGTTGATTTTCTTCTACAGTAGCTGCCTCTTCTCTAGTTTTTCTTTGTATTCATCTGTTCTTCTGTTTCTGTCTGTACATCAGTTTGTGTATCTGTCTGTCTAGCCACACTTCATTATCCTTTGAGCATTTCCTTATATTTTTGGCACTCATCTTTTACTTTTTTCTGCCCTAATTGGTAACTGACATTTTTCAAGCTGCCCTGGTTTAGTGAGCTCTTTGTGGCAGAGGCATTGTTTCAGGATCATCTCAGCAGACAGAACTGAAGAGTAGCTTGTTACCACACACATGCTCACACACATGTCTACCTAGGGACACATGTCTGTTTGTATATATGTGTATGTATAGAACTACACATATAGGTACCCACTTCTTTTTTTATGCTGTGTAGTAAAATCCATGATTTCACATTAATATTCTATCTCATATTCTATCCCTATTGCAAAGTTCATTCTAGCTTCCCCACCCCCCAAATTTTTGACTTCCTTCTCTGAGAGTAAAAAAATCTGCCTTTCATTATCTACCTTGTATTCATAGCTGTTATTTTTATTTTAGTTTCATTTATTTATTTTTAAAGATTTATTTATGCATACAAGAACTGGGATACTGGCCAGAAGTGTGGGGGGGGGGGCGAGAGGATTCACCAGAGACAGAGTGGGGAACAGGCAGATGGACCGAAATACACTGCTGAGGGGAGCAGTGGGCGAGACAGGAGAGGTCTGCTGTGCCATGTGGGTAGCTCCTTGGCCGGGGATTGAACTTGGGCTGCAGTGGCTGTGGACAGCTTCATAGGCTGCGTCTTCCACCCCCTGCACCACCAGGGAAGCCCATAGCTATTATTTTTAATTGTGTATTTACTGAATAGATAATCATCATTGGTATTTCAGCTTTCAAACACTTAAAGTACATTATATAACATATTTGAAATTAACTGGATATATGTTGCTCATATTTTATTGGTATCAACATTTCATATTTATATCAAAAAGAAAAGCTTTATTGTTTTCCCTTTTCATAAACTTCACTTTGATAAATATTATACAGAGCTATCAATAAAAATGTTAAGTTTGAAGAATAGAATTTTAAGTCATGTGGCTATTTAAACATTTGTCTTTGCCAGAGTTCTTACTATATTTGAAATCTAATGTGTAATGTAGCCATTAAATACCATTAGGTATACAAAGAAATGAAATGGACGTGGTCTCCTAGCCCCCAGGAGTTACATGTGTGGCAGATGGCAGTGATGTAGCAATGAAAGGACTTGGGAACATAAACTGACTTTGAAACATATACTGTCAAAGACTACTTTTTGGTTTCATTTTTTTTTTTTTTTGATTTAGCAGTTAGTAATTTTATTTTATTTTTTTTTTAATTAATAAATTTTATTTTTATATTCCCCATACGATTGCAATTGTATGGGGGGATTGCAATTGTATGGTTTCATTTTTTAAAGTATATTCTTTATATCCAAATTGTTTGAATAATCCTTATAGGGTCTTTCTCCTGTCCTTTTTGTTTATCAGTTTTGGTTGTAAGTTGGGAGTGCAACATTAAATTATAGGGCGTGGATATACCACGTGACCACATAATGTCCCTCTAGAGTATGTCTAGGCTGTGAAATCATCATCATCATATAAAATTTGGCAAACAAAAGGCAGGTGTATGATGACTTCTTAGTTGCTTATTCAGCATAAAAGGATCACCTCAAATGCTGATAACAACAGAATAATTTCAACAATGTCATGAAATATAAATTTTGAACAATTGAATTTAAAATACATTTGTGCCATTTTAGGCTGAAGTACAGCACCACAAGGGAATTCTCTCAGAATGAGCTTACATTAAAAGGTATTTTAATGGGGGCCTCCCCGGTGGCGCAGCGGTTGAGCGCTGGGTTGCGAAGCTGCCCGCGGCCTCTGCGGCGCCGGTTCGATCCCCAGCTGCTCCCCGGCCACTGGAGGAGGGTCCCACATGGCGCGCAGACCTCTCCTGCCGCCCGCTGCTCCCCTCAGCAGTGTACTTCGGTCCTTCTGCCTGCTCTGCTCCCCGCTCTGGCTCTGGTGAATTCTCTCACCCTCCCGCGCTTCTGACTGTACCCAGTGCATGTATAAACAAAACAAACAAACAAACAAATAAATAAATAAAACATGCCTCTATAAAAAAAAAAAAAAAAAATAAAAGGTATTTTAACACAATTTATTTTTGTCTCAGAAATTATTAAAGCTACTCTACAATGATAATTCTTTTAGGAAACTCTGCATACAGAACTATTTCCTACTTCTGCCATTAAGGACAAATTAAGGTTTATCCAAGTTTTTAAATATTAATGTGCATCATTTTTTTAAGTGAATTTCTGAATATAACACAGTAGTAATATGAAACCCTGCAAGTTAATGTTAAAAGATATCATGGTATAATCATCCACTATTTATGAAGTTACATATTACAAGCATCTCTATGCCCTTTTATTGTTAATGATAGTTTCTTTTATTCCTGTGGTTCTATACCTTGTTATTTACTTCTGTAATTCTCACATCTTGTGTTTCCATGGTTAATTCTGCAAACTTAAAGGAAAATGATGTTGACTTATTTAAATGTTCTTTATGAATAAGAACATACTTTTATGTAGAAATCTATTCTAGTAAAATACCATGTTTTCATTACATGTGTACTTTATATGACTCAACTTTTTCAAAGCAAATCATCATAAGCAATAAGCAAGAAGTGTGTTCTAGAATATTACATATTTTGACTAAATCGTTGACTCATTGAGTCAATTTTACATGTGTCAGTGAATCAGATCCCGTTATTACATTTTAATCACTGGAGAGGTCTCACCAGCTGGGGGTGTGCGGGCACACAGTGCTTCTCATCAAAGGGTTTTGAAAGGTTTGGTGACATTGATCAGTCTTCTCTCTTTAGAATTTATCTCAGGATCGGAGAATGAGTTGTAGCCAAGAAATGTTGAATGTAGAAAACTCAGTATATGATTGCATTGGTGTCAGCAAAAGAATTAGTATGGTTAAGTGATGGCTAGCACAGCAAAAATGAGTGGTCAGATCTATTGAGACTGCACATAGAGAAACTAGAACTTAGCAAGGGATTGGATAGTTGGGCACAATAAAGTGTGAGGTTTCTGTTCTAAACAACTGGGGTGTTGCCCTGTAACACAGGCATATAAAGTAAGAGTATGAAACTTGAGTGCATATGAATTAAATTGTGTGTAACTGTTAAACCACGGAATGTCTCATTTAGTGTTCATGAGATACTAAAATTGAAAATGATCCTTAGAAGCTTTAAAGAATGATTTTTGACCAATGAACAAGCATGATTTTTAATACAATATATAGTTATATTTTTATTATTATTGACTGGTTATAAAAGGACTCTGTTTTTTAAGTGCTGCTCAGTACTATTTTCTCCTGTAGAAGATGAAGAACCCAAGCCTGGAGAGGTTAAATAAATTACCTAGGGTCATGTAGCTAGTGATTATAGAGGTACATTTTTGAAACTAAGCTAATTGAGTCCAAGTTCTCGTGCCCTTTGAACTCACTTCATTAAGTAGTTCATTCATTAGAAATGGAAAGAAGCTTAAAGAATAGTGAGATAAATACTTGGATCCTTACTGGACTTTTGGACACCCCAAGACTTTAGAGTTTCACTCATATGTGGAAGATAGAGAAACACAACAAAGATTCAGACACCACCAAATCAAAAACCAACCCCAGAAATCTGATTGTAAAACTGAGGCCTCCACACAACAGGGCAGAGTGGGGAGTAGAGTCTGGAGGGGGCGCAGTGGGCCATAGCACCACCCCCAGTGGTGGGTGTGGTTTCAGCATCCATCTGAAGACTTGGAGTCCTATATTCCTGAATCATACCCAGTGTTACCTTTATAAAAAAAATGGAATGCTTCACAAATTTTTAAATAAGTGAATTTACTTCCTTCAATTAAAGATAACTTATACACTACCCCTAGTTTTTGAATGGCAAGAGAAAAATGCTTTTTATAAAAATAAGCTAATCAGATATTCCCTGAGGTTGAAGCACATGTTTATGATGGAAAATATTCAATGTGTTTTTGGTTTTGACTTACAGCCTGTACATGCAGTGGCCATGCAAATATTTGTCATATGCACACAGGAAAATGTTTCTGCACGACTAAAGGAATAAAAGGTGATCAATGCCAATTGTAAGTAAAGATGACTCTAGAACTTCTGTGGATTATTGTAAAATAGAGCTCATATAGTATGTATATCTTCTGTAGCGCTCTAGAAAAAGAAACATTCTCTTATATTCCTGGAAATCACATTTTTTATATCAAATCTGCATCTTTATAATTTTCCTCTATACCTATTAAATAACTCAAATCCAACATTTCTCTGCTTTTGTGGGGGTTTATTAATTATTTGTTTACTTATTAGTAATTCTGGTAATTGTAGTGGTTTTGTCTTTTTATGATTGTCATTTTCAATATTTATTCTTCCCACAAACTAACTTAAAGAAGCACTTGTTGAATGTTATTTAAATGGTTTTTGTTTGTTTCTCATTCATATATATTATTAAAATAATTTTTATAGTTGTAAATTACATATATGCAAACACATGGTTATGTTAGATATAAATTTACTGTATTTGATACAAACCATAAATTCTAATTGTGATAATTACAAAATTATAAAAAATTCTTTTTTTATAATTATAAAAGATTTATAAAAGATTATTAGACTATAATCCATTTAAAATAATCTGTAAAGATATTTCAATATTGTAGCACCCCCATTTTTAGAAAAATTATATCTCATAAACTATATATGAATATCTATTTAAATCAATAGGGGCAAAAGGAAATTCCATGTTTCATTGATTAGAAATGTGAAATTATTTTATATTTTATTTTTTAATATGATATAGTGTAGTGTGATCATTTACATAAATAGTAACCATTATTTAGGTAGGTGACATGTAAGGACAATATTTACCTTTTCAAAGCCCCTAATAAATATTTCAACCTAAATCTGTTTTCAAAAAAGCTTTGGCTGTTTGCTTAGTTTGCTCAGTGGGAATAGAGGATGATTATTTATTTGCTTTGACACAGAAATACTTTGAAGTTATGTTTTTTAATTAAGCCATGCTGAAGACTTCTGAAGGCCTTTAATGATTGTATCTAATCTTTGTACAGGAGGATTCTGAATTTTAAAAAGTTTATTTAGCTTAAATATTAGAAATACTAAGATACCTTGTATTAATGTAATTTTTAAAGTGCAATATTACTTTAAAAATTATTCATAGCTACACTTTTCCTTTTATACATTCTTTACCTTTTATCACCTGAATTTGGACTTGATCAGATAACTTTTCAAGTTATTCATTATATGAATTAGATTAGTAGTTCATGTTCAATTTCCAAGTAAATATATTGAAATATTTTATAATAAGGAAGTTTATGTATAGCAAAAATATTATGATGAACAGATCCTAAAGAGCTACCAGTGGTCTCTTTCTCATGTTCATCCTAATGTATAATTTCCTTTTTTGAGTGTGGACAAGACCTGTCACTTGCTTTTAAACCACAAAATATGGCAGAGGTGATAGGATATCATTCTGTAATTATGTTACATTATTTGGTAAAAGTGATGCGTGTCACTTTCATGAATTGGTTTTAACATATGTCTTGCTAGAAGACTTGTTGTAGAAACTTTCTTCCTTGCTGGCTTTGAAGAAGTAAGCGAAAGTTTAGTTTCTGAAGTCAACCTCCAGCTAATATTAAGTAAGAAACCACTGCCTCTAATTCTATAGCTTCAAAATAAATTCTGTGAACAACCTGAGGTAGCTTAGAAGAAGATACATCCCCAGTCAAGCCTGTGATGAGAACCAACCCTAACTTACACCTGGATTGCTATCTTACAGTGAACCCCACCTGACATGGTACAGCAGGAATGAATAATCTTTTTTAAATCTAGGAAGTTAGTGCATTTTACACATCTTAAAAGTAGCATTTGGAGAAATCATTGAAAACCTAATCTCCAAAGTTCCTTTGTTTCTCAGAGACTAGCATTAGTTATACCAAGGCCTATCATATTTCTGCTTTAATGTTGTAGATTGTATAGAAAAAGTTTGCATTTCAAATCATTTTTTTCCCCAATGGATGTAAAACCTAGCAAGAATGTTACTGAAAAATGCATGCAGAACTTAACCTGATTATTCAACTTATTCTCAATTTCCTTGCCCTTCATTAATTAAAACTACATGTGTTGAAATTATTTCTCTGTTCTAATTAACTCTATTAAAACAACCAAAAACATTTTGGAAACATTTTTCACCTTTAACATTTTTATTTTAAATTGTTAAATATGTTATTTTATTCAGTCACCCTGGCATATTCATTTTATAACATTTTATTCTGGAGAGTGTTTCAAGAAGTAGTATGTGCAAAGCCAAGCTATATCTCTGTTAAGGATTATTTGTCATTTCAGTTGAATTCTGGGATTAAACCAAGATTAAAAAATACTAACATCAGAAACGCTGAAAATACGTATGATTTTTTTCTCTGCTATAGTTAATCATGTTTTTGATGCATTTAACTTAAAATTCATGGTTTGTGCATTTTTTTTTAAATTTTTGTAACCCGTTGATGTGAATTTAGAGTTTAGGATTCTGAATTTAGGTTTGAACAATTTAGAGAAATCTTTCTTCCATTTCATATTTTGGGAGGGATTTGTTTAAATACAAATTTATTAGTATAGAAACTGGGAAAAGACATATTAAAGAATGCCAGAAGGAAGGAAGTAGTGTGGATTAATGAATTCTCACAACTTACTTTCTCTATCTAAAAAATGTTTCTGTAACTTTACCCAGTCTTTCATTTCCTCCTCATATCTTAGGGAAAAATATGGATCTCAAAACTCATAATCTTATCCTCCCTTGTATTCTTGGCTTCTCCACTCGTTTCTTCTCTTCCCTTAGGCTCATATATAAGCTTTTACCATTAATTCTTTTGGAGACTTATTTTTAAAACTTCAATTAATGATATAAGCTTTAAGATATTTTAACATAAAGTTTACCTTTTTTCATGAAGAAAACCAAGAGACATTACAATTCTGTTTGAGTAAACGAGTTTTTTGTATTTCTACAGATGTGACTCTGAAAATCGCTATGTTGGCAATCCACTTAGAGGAACATGTTATTGTAAGTATTGGTATTTTTACTTTTTAAAAATTTGGTTTCTATTATTAGTTTCAAGCGATTTGGCATATAATAAAAGTCATCTTGAATAACTGATATTGCCAGCATGTCATTGTTTCTATTCATTTTATAATACAGCTCCTTATATATTGCTCAGGAAGGCACTGTCTTTTGCTGTGTTCTCTTAATTGTATTTGGTGCATTTTTTTCCTACTCTGAAGAGTTTTGAAATCACAGTATATCTTATTCTGAACTTGGGACAAAATCTAGAACTTGAGAAATTTCAACTAGATTTTACTGCAGATTTTTCATTACAAATTTTGAAGAAATAGCATTTTGTGATAGATTTTTGCAGGCGACAATTTTGGTCATTACTTTGTACTGAAAAATTCTTTATTAGTGAATGATCACATTTTAGATGTGTAAGTTTTTAAGAAATACTGAGACTATTTCAATACTATAATAGTTTTAGGCTGTCACCGGTACTCTGAGAATTTTAGTACATTGGCATCTCTCAATACTTTGTTCGATTAGTCTTTTTTACTTTTAGCCATTTATAGGTATGTAAAGGTAGATCATTCTCATTTTATTTGCATCTCCCTAGTGACCGTTGACTTTAAACATCTTTTCATGTGATTATTTGCCATATGCCAATTTTATTTCATTAAGTATGTTTCAATGTTACCCAGGTTTTATTACATTGTTTTTTTAAGATTGAGTTTTCGGGGTACTTTAAGTATTAAAGATACAAATCCTTTTTCTGGTACATGATTTGCAGAATTTTTTTCTGGTTTGTGGCTTGTCTTTTCATTCTTAAGATTTTTTTTTTTTTAAAGTTTTAAATTTAGACAAAGGTCAGTCTTTCACCATTAAGTGTGATGTAGGTTTTTCCTAGATGCCTGTATGAGGTTGAAGAAATTTCCCCTATTTTGTTTTGCTCATTCTTTTTATGAGGAATGAGTGTTTGTATATATACAATATACAATATATTATATATGTTACCACTGTTTTTGTTCATTCACCAGTTGGTGGACATTGGGGTTATTTCTAGGCTTTGTCTACAGTGGAAAATGCTGATAATGAACATTTATTTATTTATTTTTAAAGATTTATTTATTTATGCATACAAGAGCTGGGGTACAGGCCAGAAGTGTGGGGTGTGAGAGGATTCACCAGAGGCAGAATGGGGAACAGAACAGGCAGATTGACTGAAATACACTGCTGAGGGGAGCAGCCGGCAAGTCAGGAGAGGTCTGCTGCGCCATGTGGGTAGCTCACAGGCGTCTGGGGATCAAACTCTGGCTGCAGCAGCTGTGGACAGCTTCATAGGTTGCATCTTAACCCCTTGCGCCACAAGAGAGGTCCCTATATGTCTTCATTTCTTTGCTATGGATTCCTAGAAATGGAATTGCCAGCTGATGTGATAAGCTTATATTTAACTTCTCTTCAAATTGCCAAATGATTTTACACCATGGATCTACCATATTTCAGGTTTACCACATCTTCATTCACACTTCACACTGTCTGTCTTTTTGTTATAGCCATCATAGAATTTTGTAGATAGTAGAGTGTGGAAATATCTGGTGGTTTTAATTTGCTTTTCTCTTATGACTGTTAATGCTGAGTTTGATTTCACGTGTTCATATCTTGAACATGTATTGTTACATGCGTAAAATATATACTATTTCCTAATATTTTTGTTGCTCTTCTAAATTTATGTTATATTTGTTTGGTATGTAAAATTAAAACTTACATCAAAACATTGATCCAATATTTTTCAAGTTCAGTGAACTCAGTTATTAGCCCTAATTGTTTATAGATTTGTTTATTTTTAAATGCAGTTAATTATATTATATGTAAGTAAGGGTAGGTTTATTCCTCTTATTCCAAGTCTCTTGTTCTTGAGATGGTTGGGATTTCTGATTCAGTGTGAAGTCAAAATGATGGTAGTAGACCTCACCACCGAGAAGCGTTTGCTTTAATTTATTAACTATTTCCTGTATCAAGTCAAGAAAATCCCTGTTCATATCAGCATACTACAAGATTTCATGATTAATGACTTTTTCTCTAGGTTGTTAAATCAGTAGCATTTCAGTACTCAGTAGCCACAGGTGAAGAGTGCTTACCACATTTAACAGCTCATCTTCAGTTCCACAGGCTGACTCCTTTAAAAGATGTTAGAGGAACAGTCACACAACGCTAGATGGCAGTCTTGTCCTTTCTTATGAGAGGGAGAACTTCAGCATGTTAGAAAGAAATAGTGTTTAAAAAAAGGGAAAAAAGGTCAGTAGTTCTTGTAATAGGAAACTATTTTGATTTTAAAGATTAGAGTGAAATTTGAAATGCAGGTCTGCACTGTAACTTAAAGCAATTGAGCACAATGTGGTGTTCACTTAATTGAAAGTAATATACCAGCACTTGTGTCCTCTTTACAGTCTTGGTAGTGCTTCAAATTTCAGTTTGAAACAAAAAACCAAATGTATATGAAAACTGTCATGCTCCATAGGAAAAAAAGGTGATAGCAATGATTCCTAATTTCTTTAACCCTTGTAAATATTGAATTGCTCAATTTATTCTCAGCAAATATAAATAGGAGTACTCACAAAGTAGTATGCTTTCCTTTTGTCCTTAAATACTTTTTTTAGTAAGAATAACATTTTGTAATGAAGAAAACCTTGAACATAAAATGGAATCCTGGGCTACGAAAGTGCTATTTAGTTACTGCATTTCAGTGAGTAGAATGTCACTTTCTGCTGTCATCTATTTTGTGCTATTTCTCCATGATTTATTTTAAGCAATGTACTATCCAAACTGCTAATTATCACATTTTAATACATTTCCAAGTAACATCACCAATATAGTAGAAAAATTAAAATATTTTGGCTTATTTTACCTTTCAATCTATAAAAAGTAGTTTTCTTTTGAATTTTTTTCTATTGCTACTTAGCGGTCAGGATGAAATTTTGTGATGATAATACACTTCCTCTTTTGAGAGTATATAATTTAATTTCTACTTTTTGTATTCTGTGCCTACCTTTACCATTCATCACATATCATGTTAGTTTACATTATAAAAAATGAAATATTTATCCATTCATCTCACTGTAAAGTCCTTAATCATTATTAATATATTTAATGTTTATGTTTTAGACTTACAGATGTTTATAAGCATAATTTTTATTGGATTTGATTTTTCTTTGATAGATAGCATTTTCAATAAATGTTAAATAGCAATTGCTTTTACTTTCATCAAAATTTAATTATTTAAAATGCTACGTTATGCAAAAACAGTGAAAGTAATCAAAATTAAAATTAACTTTATACTTAGTGGAATTATTTTGTGATCCATTTAAAATGGAATAAACTTATTTTCCTGTTTTTAGGTAAGCCATTGTATTTTGTTAGTTCATGTTTTATATGACTTTTAAACTATTGAATATAAAGAGCTATTAAATAAGATCTGGCTGGTCCATCCGCAGTTAGAGCAGGAGTGACCTTGATGAACACAGAAACTCTAAATTCTTATAATTCACAGACTGAAGACATGATGGACTGAGAGTTATCTGACAAAACATAAATAAGTCATGTATTTTGCATTTTTACCTTATTTTTTGATTTATCAGTGTTTTTATTGTTTCCTGAAGCTTACTCTAGATGTTCATTTAAGAATTATTTAATCTTCTAGCATTTTCCAAAGATGAAGGATACTATAGCACAATTATGAGAAAATTAAAATAGGTAAGAGGAAAAAAAATTCTATTGAATTAATCCAGATGAAGAATTTGACTTTTATAATAAAAACATTTTATTCTAGTTACATAATGTCGACTCACTGTAGAAATAATTGAATAAAACAATAAGTTTAAGGAAGAATAGAACATCTGAAAATTTTCCTCAAGGGCACCCAGGTGTAATTGTGCATTCTATGCCCCGTGCAGTGGTGCCCTGCTGTGAGCAAGCATGGGGCTGACAACCGATTTACATTTCTCACTAAGCCTGTAACCTGGTGTGGCTTGTTTGCCTTGAACAAGGTTTAATCATTCCTTACTTGTGTAAATATGCTGCATGGACTAATGAAGCCATTGCACACCTGATTTCTAACTAAGTCATGTTCTGAGACTGACTTTACATAAACAGGTTGTAACATGTACAACATCCTCATTGTGAACAATTTTTTTCCTGATGTGTACAATTCATTATTCAGTATCATTTATGAAATAATACGTAGTTTTTAATCTAACTAGAAAATAACTGCCTAATTTTGAAATAATAATACTAGTTAATCTTTATTGAGCACCTACTATGTCATGGTATTCTAAGCTTTTAATGTTTATTCATTTATCCAGTCCTCAAGTCAGAGAGGTATTCTTATTATTCCAATTCTGTATTTGAGGGATCAGAGGCAGAGAAAGTTTAATTAATTTGTGTAAGATCACTCAGGTAGGAAATAGCAAAGACAGATTCAATCCTGGTCCTGTAACCCAAACTCTTAACAACTACAAGAACACTAATTTGATGGGATGGAGGCATTCCTGTGCTCATTGCCAGCACTTTTTACTATAGCCAATTTATGGAAACAACCAAAGTAACCAGTGACAGATCAAGTAGATTAAAAAGATGAAATGAAATACTCTTCAGCTATAAAAGCAATACGAAATTTCGTCATTTGTGACTACGTGGGTAGAATTGGAGAGGACTGTGTTAAGCAAAATAAGTTAGAAAGGGAAAGAGGAATACCAGATTATTTCACTCTTATGTGAAATATAAATAAAACAAAGGAACCAAACCAAATAACCCTTAGCAATCTGCCTGTAGGGGAGTAGACAGGAGAGGGTATGGAAGCAAAGAGGACCCCGGACTGTGGTGGAGGACTTGTGAGTGGTAGGTGTGGCGTTCTAACATACATCTGAAGAGGTGTGAGCCTATATTTCTGCATCATATATGGTGATGTAAAGCAATGCTATTTTCAATTGAAAATAATTTTAAAAAGAATAAAAATAGCT